TAAAACTGGGCTCTCCACTCATTTTTTTCTCACCTGTTTAACTAAACTGCATTAAAATCTAGCTTAGATTTTAAAAGCCTATTTTCTTTTGGTGGGCAGATAGCCCCAGCTGGACATCATCAGAACAGAAAGAAAATGCTAGAATCTTTTTCCGTACCATTTCGTGATTAGCTTACCCTTCAAAAGCAGGCAATGGCCTTGTCTATGGGAACGGAGCGGTCCCAGCACTGTGGCCTATCACATATTTTCCAGATCGTGGCCTCGGTCAATTTAACTAAGACAAGACAGCTGCTATGTTTAGAATTATAAACTCAGTTTGCAAGTAATTCTTACCACTTCAGAAAAAAAGTAGTTACAGAAAACAGTGGAAATAACAGTACCTACATGTACACATGTAATAGTTGGGAAGACAGAAATTTCCTTCGGAATGAAAGATACTTTAGTACTTTCCAAGCCAGTCCACAACGAGGACAACGCTATTTTTTAAAAATCCTATCCCCTGTTTTCATTGCACATGACATATTACATTGTACTGTACAGTGTGTGGTGACGAGAAATTCCCTGGTTATTTAATTGTGATCCTTCAACGAATTTGAAAGGGAGCGCTTTATTTCCATTTCTTTAATTTACTAGTTCTTTAGCTGATGATTTTATTAACTCTTGTATTTGAGAACTGATGCTTAACAGAAAAAGAAGAAGAAAAAAAGGCCCTTGGCAGTATTGTGAAGGCCTGGAACTGAATAATGCACTTTAATAATGAGGGATAGAGCTATGGCTTTTGCTGATGGCTGTGACCGGCTCTGTGACCTGATTATGTCGCAGAGTGTCAGCAGCTGAGACACTACAAAAGGGAGCGCATCCCATCAAATCTATCTCCATTGTAATCACTCGCGCTGCTGAGAGGCTTGTTAGGAGCAGGGAATCCATCAGGCCTCATTAGCACCATTTACCATCAAGAAGCTCAAAGAGCAAACATGTACCCTCTCATCAGAATAATGAGAACCAAAGTACTCCTATTATCTAATTGGATCAACAATGCCTCTCTCTCTATTTAGTTTCCTGAGCTACTTGTGGACTACAACTCTCAAAAATTAGTTATTTTTTGTTAATTGCCAGGGTGGAGCTGTGCTCAAGGTTTTTCATATACAGAAGGTTTTCACAACTGAAGAGCAAGGCACGGGCACAATGAAGCCTGAGTTCCTCCAAGGGCATTCTTAGACTGTACCGATGCCATCCCAATTAAATTCACTGTTCAATTAAAGTATGTACTGTACAATTACACCACACTTACTTTGATTTTCCTATTACCCTACCAGGAAATAGAACGTATTGCCCTCTTCAACCACAAGACAGTTCATAATGCCAACTCTTATCATGCCACTTTTTTTACTCTTTATGGTAAAATGTTATTTTGCAATTGCTGAATTAGGATGTATTTTTCTCCTATTAGACAACTCCCATCTTTCCAAAAAAGAAATTAAACTTACTCAGCACCCGTAGTTAAAATGTATTTGATCCTGTTGAAGTCAAGGGACTTATATGAATGCAACTGATGACAATTAAGCACTACGTTTCAGCCATGTAGGAAGCTGGCTTGCAGGTAGCACTTACGGAAATGAGAAGCATTAACCTTGCTTCCATATTTCTGTGGTTCATCTCCTTACAAAGATTAAGAAAACAGCCAAAATACACATTTCATGAACTTAACAGACATAGCAAAACCCACTCAAAACTCCTAATATTTTCTTTGATTTGCAGTAACAGAGCGAAAAAGAGAAATGTCTGGTTGTTACATCTCTGAAGAATCCAAGTGCAGCAATGGCACTAGGATCCTACTATACGGGCAGGCTGAAGCCGAGCGGGTAGAGAGCTTCTCTTTGAACTCAGTGGCATCTCGCAATTCCACTACTCTGGCCTTTAAATTCAAGATATGGAAGCCCGGTCCTGCAAATGATTCCTGGAAAGTGCTGAGGGCAAACAGAACGTAGGCAGCGTTACATGGGCCAACACCTCTTCCTAATATGCCTCTGAAAATGAAAATTTGATTTAGAGTCCTCTACCTGTACTGTATCAAATTAATCCGGTGATCTAATTGTACTATTCCAATGGATTAGATCTCTTTGCTACAGTGGTCTTGGGGAGCTCTGGTATTATGGTTCATATTGCCAGCCAAAGGAAAAAAAATAAATTATCGTACCATAATTGTGAATTCGATAATTAAATTAATAACAAATATGCTATATGATTGTTAATATATATAATTTTGTAACTGTGATTGAAAGAACTCCTAGACTATCGGGAATTAAGGCCATGCCATATGTCTTTTAAAAGATCATTTCCCTAAATTTGCCACAGGATCTTGGATTTGACCTATAGCTTAATGTCACCAGGGATTACTGATCACCACAAATTTAGCTAGACAGATGGACACTTACAAGCCCTGAATTTCTGTAACAGAAGCAGCGTATAATTACAAAAATTGCACGTACAAACAGTCTGGTAAGTCATCCAGCCTTATATTTGCAGGAGTGAATTTTGGGTGTCACAATTGTGATTCTTTGAAAGGGGCAATTTTCAAAGGGCAGATTCTTAACATATGATGGAAATCTGGCTCCTTAAAGAGTCCATGCAGATCACTCAGAAATGGAGTATCCCAAATTACTATTCATTTATGCTCCCAATTTTGAAGAAACATGCCTTTCAGTTCTTGTTTAGTTGCTATAATTTTATTAATTTGCAGGGAATTTAAGTTGATTTCTGGAATGTACTTTAATTACACTGAATAGTCCTGTTTTGCAGACGGATAGCTTCAGAAGTGTGCTCTAAGCAAGATGGGTTTATGCTGAATATTATAAAAAAGGGTGTTATACTACACTTTTTGCCAATATATATCTATATTGTGGAGAGGTCTGCAGTACTGATTATAAAACCAAAGAACGTTTGTAAAAACAAGTAATAAAAAGACAGCCCTTATTTAAAAGAGCTAGGCAAACAGATAGATTCTGTAATTTTATCCAACAATAGGGAAGATTCTTTCTTTCTCTCCTCTTTCTCTGCAACCTGTGGAATTATTGGACTTTACATTATGTGTGGAATAAACATGACTCAGCCTGAGGGAATCTATAGTTTCATTCAGTGGTATCTTCACAGTAGTATTTTTTTTTAAACATACAACGAATGGTGACTCTTAGCTTCTGTTCTCTGAGGAGAACATGTAAAGGGAAAACTACCGAAAAACATGGCTGGGTTTATATCTTCAGCTCTTACAGTGAACATCTTTGGTGCCAAGCGCCTCATGTGAGTGGCGACTGCAAACCATTTCTGGAGCACAGATAGAAACAAGCAGGCTTCTAGGTTGGAGCTGATCTGACTATGAGTTATAGGTATTATAACCAACTTTTCTTCCAAACCAATACCCCATCCCTCCAGAAATCTTAATAGGCTTTTGAGAGCCTCCATTTAAAGCTGGCTGCATAAAATGATCCTTTGATGAAAAGGGATTGAAACAAGGGTTAAAGTAGACATTGAAAGGTTATTGTAGAGGGCACATTGTTCATACAATCCTCCTTTAATATGTGTGGTGTGCACCTGCGATAAGATGATTCATTAGATAAGGCCTCACTTTGACAAGCTCCATCGTTCAACCCTCGGGGTAGTGATGGAACAATTCTGCACCCACCCAGTAAATATAACAAGGTCAGCATTTTTTTTTCCTGGGACTTGGATGGTGATAGTGAAGCTCAGGATGCATCTTTGTTTATGTGTTATGTTAAAAAAAAAGGGAGGGGGGAGCTTCTATAAAGTGTTGTCTTTTATTTTTTAATGGGCCAATATAAAACACGTTATGCCTGTTCCAATTAAATAACACGGTGATAGAAAATGGCCAGGAAAATGCCTGCTCTTCACGTTTGTTTTTTTTCCCCTGTAGCAAACAGTAAGAGTAGAAACTAAACTTTAGATTCACATATCACCCATGCTGCATCATTTCAATAAATGTTTACCAGGGCCTAACATCCACAAAAGCACTGTGGATATCACCGTATGACCGATTTGTAGCATTTAGAATAATGACATTCAAATTACTCAGTTACCAGGTCCACTCATAAGTTATATTGACAGATTTGCTGCAGTGACTTTATGTGAAACAAGTAGTTGTGTTAATTTTCGTTCTAGTAAATGCAATAAAGAATGACAGTGGCCACAATCTGCAAGCCACTTAAGCATGCTGCATCAATGGACTTATTATTTTATACATATGGATTCAGATGCATCTCTTTCTGCATCATATTAAGACTGAAAATGAAATAGTTTGCAACAAATAAACAGCTCCCAAATGCAGATAAAGCACAATCTCTCTCTTAGACATATCATAAATACTGGTCAAGTTTCTGTTTGGAAAATCTTCTTTAAAGCAAAAATTTCTCCCAAATTTGCATTGCAGACTGGCAGATTCATTGCAAATTGCTTAACTTAGTTAATTATCAAATGGGTAAGCCACCCAGTTAAATCCATCCCAGATACTTCATTACAATTTAAGTTGTGTTCCTTTACTTAAAACATTTAATTCCTTTTTAGAAATGAAGTAATACAGAAATGCTACAATTTGCCAAAAAGTGTAGTTTTAATACTACAGTAGCACTTTAATATAGTTGTCTGTTATTAGGCAGATACAAGTGGAAGAAGACAGCTGGTATGTTTGTTAAGAATCACAGGGTTGCTGGACTTTTAAAATATCGTATTATTACACTATTGTGATCTTTTCAAAAGGCTGAATTAAAATAAAACAAACCCTAAGCCTCTTCTGGCTTGAAAACACTTTCTAACAGCTCCTAACTCCTTCCCAGTTCTCAGACTTTCCATTTCTTACCTTGTCTGGCAAATCAATATTTATTTATCTTCAATATGTGCACTTTTAAATTGCTGTCATACAAGCGGAACTCATTTTTGTCCCAAGATCAGCCTGCCATCAGAATTCACTGTTTGCTCCATCTTCTACTCACCTGTCCTTGTGCATTAGTGACGAGTTGACCTGTGACCCCCTGAAGACTGGAGAGGGCATTGCCAAAGGCCTGGGAGCTTGCTATTGAGCCCATGGC